TGAAGAGAAATTATTGAAAAGAATATTCTTCGTTCAGATTGACTTTGATTAATATTATTATTATTAAGTCAGAGATTTTTTCAAAATCTCACACTTTAATATGTACTTTATTCACTGAAACTGGTCGACATGCATTAAACAAATCGATAATTTGAATAAAATTTTCAGCCAATCAGAAATAAGTAATCTTGATCATTATTATTATTATTACCTATTATTATGCGACGAAAAATTGTATGTGTGTCTGTAAATGTACTTTGGTCGGTTACAACAGTAGCTACTGTCGATGTGTCATTTTGAAAAAAAAAACAGCAAAAAAAGGGATTCTATTCACGTGTTACAAGATAGAGCAATAAGGTGTGAAGAGAACAATCGTGTGATTAATGGGGCGAAATGTGTACTCAGTTTAAACTCGGTGAAATCGTTTACTTAGACCAGATTTTTTGGCATATTAGATTGTGAGCTATGCTTGTTGAGCATAAGGGCTAATGATACTACTGTCCAGCTAATCAAGCTAAAGTGGGTAGGGCGGGGACTCGAACCCTGGGACGTATTGACTGAAAGTCAAGTTGAGCACTTTCTGTCCGATATTAGCCAGTGGTATAAACTTAGCGGGCCTACGTTAAATTCCTCGGAATTAACAGTTAATTTCACCTTCAGGAATAAACGTGTTCAGAATGAACTCATTCTACTATCTCCAATGATTTTCCTGATTGCGGTAGACTGGATAATGCGACAGACACACAGCGGACAACGAGGAAACAGGCATAAAATGGACCCACACAAAAAACTTGGAGGATCTGGACTTCACCGAATATATATGTCTGATTTCCCACAAACTGGAAGATATGCAAGTGAAAAGTAACAAGTTGGCGATAGAAGAAGCATCAAAGATAGGAATCCAGGTGAACAACGAGAAAACAGAGGTAGGTGATGAAGATTCCTGGCCAACAACAAAGCCACAGCAACAACAACAGACAACAATCAGCATAAATGGGAGAAATCTGAAAGAAACAACCTCCTTTATCTACCTACCTACCCACCTGGGATGCATCGTTTTAACTACAGATGGATAGAACTGATGAGGATATCACAGGGAAGATTGGGAAAGCAAGGCAAGCTCTCATTACTCTCAAGTCTGTGTGAGGTCAACGCACACTCAGCATGAAAAATAAGATCCGGATTTTCAATTCCAATGTGAAGTCAGAGCTACTATACGGATCAGAGACTTGGCGCCGCATCACGAAGAGCACTTCGAACAAACTACAGACCTTCATCAACAGCTGTCTTTGCTCAATACTCGAGATCAGATGGCCGGCCAGAAAAGATCAGTGACAGGAATCTCTGGCAATGAACGAACCAACCCAGCAAGAACCAATTGTGCAACAAATATGCGGGGAGAAGCGGCGAGTTGGTCGTCAGTGCGAGTGTAAAATGGAGAAGGACGTCATGCGAAGAGGAGATGAAAGCATAAGGTCAGACGTGGAGCCTGGTGGAGACGTCGGCAGAGAACCGAACGCAATGGAGACGTGCAGCTGAAACCCTATGTTCCTCTAGGAATTAAAGCAAACACTAATAATAAGTAATAATGATCTCATTAGTTCACACGGTGGTTGTAGCTTAGAGGGCACTGATATATAGAGAGAATAAGTCAAGCATAAAATACCTTGGTATAATTCTATCCTCTAACTTTTCTCAGTTGATCGTCCCATATCTTGCCAATTTCTAAGAAAATACTCCTTCTTACCACCTTCTACCTTAAGAAGTTAAAACAATCTGGAATCACCCAACCCTTACTTTTACAGTTTGTTAACTCTGACATCTTACATATTATTCTGTATTGCTCCTCCCTCTTAGTCTTTTCTGGGCTACTCAAACAGGATTATGTCATATTGCCAAGGGTATTAAAGGTTGTTGGTAAGATAAGCTAGTCAGCGAGTTACTATCATAGTCGACGGACACCTGAACTCAACTGAGTAGTGGTCTAAATCCGTACTGTCTGACTCCCAACACTTCACCCTCTCGATTCACAACTCTTCCCCCCTCCTTGCATCTCATCAGGTAGAACTAGAAGTCATTATAAAAGACTATATGCTCACACAACCAAGTACAAAAACTCAACGATACTCTATTTGGCCCACCCACGTTCTATGTGATAATGATAGTGTTCAGTGTGAAACTTACGACTTACTTACTGTGTAATTAGCATAAAAAACGACTCAGTCATTCTCTTATATTTATGATTTTATGATCACACTATCCCAATTATCTTATAATTTTGTGTTATTAGTACTAATATTATCATTTCATGTCCAACCTTGAAAGAACAAAGTTGAAGCATGCAATCGAAAAAAACAACTTCCTACTGTCAATATGTTGATGACACATTAATAGTGTGCAACAATCAGAAGTCATGCTTCACACTTACTCAGATTATTCAATAACGCACACACCAATATTGAGTTTACTATGGAACATGAAAGTGATGGAAAGTTCCACTTCCTCGACATTGCCATGCAACGCCTAGAATACTGTAGTCTTCAGAAGTCAATTTATCGAAAGCCTACTTGGAAAGGACAATACTTACATTTTAATAGTTTTTGTCCAAATAGCTTTAAACGCGGACTAGTCAAGACTCTGTACTATAGAGCGAGGAGAATATGCTCTATAGAGAAATTAGAGGAAGAATTTGAGTTTCTTGAAAAGACGCTGAAGAGCAATGGTCACCCTCAAAGATTCATCAACAAGTATGGAAGATCTGAAGTCACAAATGTAAAACAAATCACAGAGGGTAAAGAGCCAATCTGCATTGCAGGAATGATCAACAGAAGGCTGGTTACATCACTAGCCAGAGCCTATCCTGCAGCTAAGCTCGTCCCCGTCTATCGAACAACTTGCTCTTTGGTGCAATCAAAAATCGATAGATATCCTTCTCATGTTAACTCCAACTGTATATACAAATTTACAAGTATCTGCGAGAGCAGTTACATTGGAAGGACAGAAAGAAGGCATATTAGATTGATTTTTGTTTAAAATGAACTCTGTGCAAGTATGTTAAAATTATTTTTGTAGATATATTTAATAATGTCTTTGGCCTGTAAGCAGCTGACGAGAAGGCAACGAAATAAAAGATGGTACCACTTTATTCTGCAAAAACTGTAGTTCTTGCTTTGTTCAAATATTATTATTGTTCTTATCATTTTATATTTGTGCATCATTTTGACCCTAGTGTTTCTGCTAGTACCAAAAGTTGTTGGATGTTATCAATTTTGCTTAAGTGTATCCTGTAATGTATTTTTTTCTGCTGTTCTTGGTGTTTTTGAGTAAATTAGATGCAATATTGTACAGAATGTTGAAAATACCACACTATATTATGAGTACTGTTTTGGAATAAAGCATATTATTATTATTGAGTCACAACCTCTTCAAATATATTCAGTCGAGTAATTCACACTGTGATTCTCATGCTAACTTACATTAACTCAAATTTTCGGTGAGAAAACAAAGAGGTAGGTAATTAAAACACTTAGTCCCTTTGATAAATTTGAATAAGGCATTTAGAAGACAAATTTCGCGAGATAAGGACATCACTTCGTAGTGTTTTTTACAGTCGCTTTACAACTAACATGGTTAACAATTGTAAAATAAAGATCATGACAATTACTCAGTTAAATAAAAAAAGTACATACTAATGACCAATCATATTTTCAAATAGATCAAGTACTCCATGCTAGGCAAAGGTTGAAGTCTATTGTG